AGAGCGAGGGAAACTTTTCACTCCAGCTATTCCGTCACAGCCCATTAAACAGTGCAGGGAACCGCAACCGCCCAGCCACAGGAGCACCCACGGGAGCACCCAGCGGGCAACCACCCAACCACCCAGCCACCGACCGAATCACAAAAGGCATCCAGAGGCCCTCCTTAATGATGCCAAATGCTCGAAGGCAATAAATTAGCAAACCTCACGCGGACCTGTACGTCGATGGTCCTTCGACCCACTTCGGAACCAAAAAAACTAGGTTGAAGTCGCACAGGAGACGTAATGGAGAAGCAGCAATGAAATACGCCTGCACTCCTTCTGTTCCCTAAGCAAGAACATTTTTAAATGTTTCAAAGGCCGCAAAAGGAAGGTATTCTGCATACTATAAGATGATAACTTCGGCGATACATTGAAGATCAATCCTGAGCGCTAATACGGCCTTTGTGCAACTTTCAAGCAAACAGATAACCCAAGTTGTTGGCAGTCTGCACAAGAGACAGAAAGCCATCGCCGATAAGCGTACAAGGCGAGATGATGGGCCCCAAAATCGCATCCCCTTGGTGCCCCAAACAAGTAGGATTCATATTTAAGAATATTCAGCTTGCAATTTATGTCGAGCCGAGTACCCATGGAGGAGCCCATGCTCCTGCAGCTGCTGGAAATGCTGTTGCTCATCAAATGTCAAACCAATACACAGGAGGACTTAACTTTGTGGAGCTTCCATTTCCACGTCCCACATCCCACACAGCCCTTTCCACTTTTCCATTTCCGTGGCATTGTAGTTGAAAAAGTGCGGTTAAAAAGTTTTTGGCACGCCGCAAAGCGATTTCTCGCGTTTTCCCCCAATCGCAAGAAGCTTTTAATAATGTCGCACGACTTTCGCTATTTTCCTTATTTTCTTAACGCCTTTCCCACCGCTTTTTTTCCTCCCTTTGCCCGGCAACTTTGTCAGTTATTTTCATAAGATTTCGCGCGCGCTCGACTCAAAGGACAATTCATTTCGTGAAATTCGTGAATTTCGCATCGGGTTTTTAATCCGCAATAAAGCCAGGGCATCCCTGAGTACAGAACTCCATATGGGAAAGGGGGCGTGATCCCGGCCCGCGTGTAATTTTTGTCTGGTTGGGTGTAATTGCATGTCAATTGCACGCTTTTTGTGCCAAATGCGAAGGGAAGTTACACACAACGCACAGCACACAACACACAACACACTCGCACTCAATTATGGCAACTTTTTCTTTTAGCCATTTTTTTGCCCGCCTGCCTGCCTCCTCTGTGCAATGTGCACAATTTACTTGCCACTTGCTGCGGGTGTAATTTATTTTAATTAAAAAATTTGAATTTCCCACTCGCTGGCAAACTCTAACTTTAATTTCGCCCTTCGCTTGCATTGGAACAACGCATGCATTTCAATATCAACTAGGGAACTCTGGTTTTGCCTCTCAAAATCAATTTAGCTTAAGGAAAGTTGCGGATTCAGCTGCTCTGCAGGATCTTTTTCATTGAAAAAGCATTTATTTTGTGAGCTCGGGAGAAAAAGTTCTCGGCATTTTTCGAATGCAAATCCAGGAAGCTGTCATTTTGGGTCGAATATAATAGCACCAAAGGGCGACTCACCGATATCGCCAAAAGTTCGTCATGGATTGCACCTCCCTGCGCTCGGCGGTGTCGAACTTGCCACCCACTCCCTCCTTGGTCAGCCGATCGAGGACCGTGTGCCGCAGGACGAAGTCCACGACGGCCTTCTTCATGGCGAACACGTAGTCCGCCCGGACTTCGGCTATGTTTTCGTTGAGGGCCGTCTGCCATTTGTAGAGCAGCGGCGGTACAAGATCAGTTATCCTGCAGTTAGAAGTCAGATAAGTCAGATGGACTGGGAGGACTGGTTCAATGGGACGCACCTCTTGAGGATCTTCTTGCTCAACGGCGATACGTGAATGGTGTCGATGCCGTGCTTGATGTAGTAGTAGTAGCGCAGAATCTCGCGCTCCTCCTGGTCGGGAAAGGGCACGGCGCACTGGGCGGCCAGCTCGGGATCCTGGTCGTCGTCCATGTGGAGGATGAGCTCCACCAGCTTCCGGCGGAAGTGCTCCCGCTCCAGGCGCATGGTCATGTAGTTGGCTTTGGCCACGCCGTTCTCCCGCTTCTTCTGCCGCCTCTTCTGCTCCTTCCTCGCGCAGAGTATGTTGTCCGGCAGGTCGGATTTCATCTTTCCGTCCAGCAGGGAGCTGGCGCACTCCGGCATATTCAGTTCGTACCACAGGCGTCGCGACTTGTACTCCGGATTGGCCTTCGACTGCAGGATGCTCTGCAGCACATCCGGCTTGGGTCGGGTGTACAGCATCTTGGACTTCTCGCATAGGCGGCGGCCGCCGCATATGGACGTGAAGCTGGGGATGCTGAACTCCCGATTCGGATTCTGTCGGCCCTGCATGTTGGAGCCTGAAATCGGTTGAAAGTTCGAATCGAAATGTGAGTGGAGAAAACGAATTATTTTTGAAACATAATACGATTGTATGCTGTACCTCTTTTGCCCAATAAAAATCAAATCACTATTACTGTAAATATTATTAAAAGCTAAAAGCTGTAAGAAATTAGAATTAAAAAACCATTTATTTAACTACGAAAAATCCGGTTTAAGTTTTAAATATTTGGTTTCAAGCCGTTTTGAATCGGTTGTAACCGGTAGGGGTTGTGGTATCCACTAAACTCAACGCGCCTATCGATAGCACGCGAACAGCTGTTCAGCACACACGCGCCTTGCCGGCTCTTTTGCCATCCCTAACACCCGAATTGTGCAACACGGAAAATTGTCAAAATTACCAGTTTCCAAATTATTTGCTCGTTTCAAGCGCACACATAACACACGGAAAGTAACCCAACGACACTTACCACAAGGTTTGGCTTAATTGGCGCCGCAACGCGATTAATTCACCTGACGCGATCCGAGCATACGAAGCAGTTGAAATCAAATGCAAGTCACACACAGGATTATCAGTTGTTTGGAATGAATTGATTTTCCGGGCAACTACATAGCGACAGGTCGGAAAACGGAAAAACAAACAAGCCGGCGAGTTGCCCTTGGCAGCAGGCAAAGAGCAACAATTCAATCCACCACACACAACTAACGCTAGCAACCCAAATCGGTTTGGCTACCCAACCAGTAAATTTCGGCTGGAGAAATGCTGCTACAAAAGATTTTCACCCGGGCGCTACACTCCACGCGGCATCTTTACGCCGCATCTGGCGGATCCGGAGGCCTGGAGAAGAGTGCCCTGGCGGCCTTGAGGAAGAAGACCGGATACACCTTCGCCAATTGCAAGAAGGCCCTGGAGAAGCACAACAACGACGTCGGCTTGGTGGGTAGTTGGCTAATGATTCTACTGTAAACGGTGCGACGAGCCTTCCATTCCAGGGAGCACGAAAACGCTTACAAACTCCTCCCTGGTCATGGCACCCCCACTAATCACCTTTCCTTGCAGGCTGAAAAGTGGCTGCATGAGCAGGCCCAGACGCTCGGCTGGTCCAAGGCCACCAAGGTCGCAGATCGAGCCACTGCCCAGGGTCTGATTGGGGTCCTCATCCGCGGCAACCGGGGCGCCATGGTGGAGCTGAACTGCGAGACGGATTTCGTGGCCAGGAACGATACCTTCAAGCGGTTCGTAGACCACGTCGCCTGCATGTGTCTGCACTACACGGACTTGACGGACTTTGATGGAGATCTGTGGAAGGTGAGAGTGGATCTGCGGATACTACTATAATTGAGTTATAGTTCCATTAGCAACCATTGCTAAGAAAACGAAGTGGCTAACGAACGAATGTGTCTGTCCATTCCAGCTTGGCTTCGATGCGGACGCCCTCAAAAACTTGCGCACGGAGGAGGGGCGCACACTGGGCGACCACCTGGCCCTGCTGATCGGCGCCATCGGGGAGAATGCCACCATCCGACGGGCCTTGTGCTTTAAGGCCAACAACGACCTGAGACTAGTGGGCTACGCTCATCCGGCACCCACCAATGTGGGCACCACGGAGGGCATCACTCAGGTGGGCAAATACGGCGCGATCGTAGCCTACCGATCCACGCACAAGCTGCTGGACTTTGAGTTCCACAAGAGCATCTGCCAGCAGATCATTGGCATGAAGCCGATGAAGATCGGGGAGTATGACAAGGACAAGCCGGCGGAGAACAAGGACGACGAGACGTGCCTGATTCACCAGGAGTATCTGCTCGATGCGGACAAGACGGTGGGCGAAGCTTTGCAGGAGCACAACTGCGAGATCGTTGACTACCATCGCTTCGAGTGTGGCGAGCAGACGGAACGCAGCCTGGAGGCGATCATTCGCTCCCAGCACCAGAGCAGCAATTAACTAGCCATTAAGCAGAGTCTAGATCACTAAATTGTTATTAGCGCCAGCTGAAGATTGTTAAAACCGAAATTGTGGACAAAGTTCTGCTTAAAATTTGCATGTGAAACAAGTAAAACAACCACGACGATCAGATCAGATCCGCCTCCGTTATTTGAATACTCCATGAGTCATGGCAAAAAATTGGGGTGACCAAGGGGAAGGCGCCTGCGCAGAACGGGAAGCACGCTTGAGCGGCTTCCGGCGGCTGAAGCAGTGGGAGCAGCGGAACCAGCGGGAAGAACGGGCGAATGGACAACGCCAGCAGAATGGACTGTTTACAAACGTGTTTTGTTCCGCAGCTCGTAATTACCCACTTGGTCATGCGATAGCCCAAAAGAAAGAGCAAAAGGGAAAGATCTTAGTGGGGGCAAAGGCAAAACGAGCACCAAAACAACAAGCTTAATGACTTAACCGAGCCACTCGCTTGGGGCTCAGGTTATGGAAATATGAGTAAGTTTGGTCAGGGAAGGAAATCAATTGTCGGGAAGAAGTAAGTGTTTTGCAGAAATACTTTCCAGCCCTAAAAAGTTTACAGCACTGAGCCGGCATGAAATACTGGCTATTCCTGTCAAAACCCTGCTGTCATTTAAATATGGCCAATCATCAACCTTCAATCGTCGTGAGAGATTACATTGCCGACATGGATTACCTGGATATTGAGTCCTTCCGCTCCAAGTATAGCGACATAACCGTCACGGCCGTGCCATCCCGCTCCAAAGCGGACGATAAGCCAGCAGTGGCCACCGACCAGGAGACGAAAGCCAAGCAGCATGCGCCGTGCGTGGAGATAACGAGAGTGAATGGAGGTGCCGCGTCAGGTAGTGGCTCCACCGCCAATCCAGCGATGATGCAGCGCAACAGGCAGCAGCCAAACAGCGTCGCACTTGCCTACGCCAACGAGTACAAGGAGGTGATGGCCAAGCTGGAGTACACCAAGTGCATGCAGGCTCAGCTGCAAATGATGTCCGCTGCGAAGGGAGGGGGCAGTTCAGGTGCCTCTGGCCTCGACTGCGATCTGTATGGCACATCTACAAGTAAGGAAATGGAGAAAATGTATTCTAGTTTCGGTTCCATCTAAATGCATAAATATACTATAAGTAACTATGTAACTATAAGTCCTATCCTCAAGATCCCACCCTTTACAGATCGCGATGAGAACGCCAACATAGTGGACAAGTACTCCGATCTGCTCAATGTCCTGGGGGAAATGCGCTCCAATTTGCCGGCCACGATGGCGGGCTTAAGGGCTCCCAAGGAGCGCCTGCAGCGCGACATAGCCCAAGCCAGGCTAAAAGTGCGCCAGTGCCTCCTGCTCCTGCAGCAAGGAGAGGAGGAGAGTGATGATACCGACTTCCAGGGCGCCCCCACCAAAGAGTGACGTCATGACCACCATGTACATCTGCGCATTGTTGACGACACCTCTGCGGCACTGCGAGTGGCACGACAATAAAAGACTAGAATAACAAAAGCCATCGGGGAGTTCTGGGAACCCTCGGTGTTCACGGGTTCGACTATGATGGTGGGGCAATGGCTTTGGAGTAGCCAAATACTACGACCAGGTGATACTAGGTGATGTCTGCGGCGGCAGTGGCCGGCATTCTGACACAAGCGAGCAGCGGAGCGCGAAACTTGTCCAGCTGAATGTGGAGGGTGCTAGCTAACAGTTTATACCCTGTAGATGGTTATTCACTTGCAAAATGGGTTACTTTCCACTTATTTGATACACATTTGTACATGCCTTCGTTCATCACATACTTTTACTATAAAGCATTCTTCTTCTTTTAAAGTCGAGAGTAAAGTTGTTTGTATTATATTTCAGTAGTATTGGAATTTCGTAGCAATTTAAACCTACCATTTAGTGTTTATTACTCTTCACAGTATGTACAGTTGTATGTACAATGCACAATGCACTTTCCACATCCTAAGTTTGCAACAAGCATTACAACTGACCATTATAATTATCCAACTTTTTGTCAGTCAGTTGGTATACAAGCTCCCGTAATTGTTACCTATTTATTTAGGCCGCCCAGTGGTCGAGCATGCCCTCTCAAAAAGTTGGCCATGGTCAAAGTGGAACTCGAAAGGGTCACATTCACCGACGTCGGCAGAGAGGCAATCCATTGTACATAGCAAGTATGTACATATATGTATGTATGTAACACCAAAGTATGTATGTAACTGCGATCGGAGCGCTTCATTTGAAGTTTTCACGTTCAGTCGCCAGCCGACTTTTCACGGGTTAAGTTTGACGTTAAAGCCACCGATCAGCGACCGGATCGCACGAATTTATCCTTTTCTTTGACTTCCGCTTACGTTAATTCGGGTTAATTTGTTTGGAAAGTGCGCAAAAAGCAGCAGTGCCAAAAACGCGTTATCACTTGTGTGTCGCTCTCTTTTCCCCGCTAACGGTAAACTGCGCGAAGAAGCGCGCGAAAGCAAATTGCAAAAAAAGGCGGCCAAACTAAGCGAACAACGCCAAAAGGTGACAGCCATAAAAACAGCAAATAGTCCGCGAAGTGCGAAAAAGTTAATTAGATTGTTTAGTTTTGGATTTGCAACTAAAATTGCACCTGCACCAAAGGAAAATAAACGAATACTTTAATTTGCATTGCAGCAGCCGCAAATTGGACCGCAAAATGCCGCCGTTTAATTTCATCAAGCAGGTGAGTGCGCATTAATTAGGTGTTGCCACACATTTATGTTGCAAAGTAATTAATTAAGCGTTTGTGCGGCAAGAAAACAGCGATGTCGAGATGCATTTGCAACTGATGCTGAAATCGATAACAAGATATGTATGTTCGTTACCCAATCGAACCAATTAACCAATGTATGTATAAAGGATATTTTGATCTTGAAGTACAGTGGTAACTCAAAGGGTGAGCCAGGGGAGTTAAGCAAAATCATCCACTTTACCGAGCGCAGATGCAAAACAAGATAAAATTCTATAGTCGAGTTCCCCGACTATCAAATACCCGTTTCTCAGTTAGTGGAAGTGCAAACGACAAATTTCAACATATCCGGAATATCTGTAGAAATTGGGAAAAATATGATAAAATAAAAAAAAAATTGTTTTAAGTGTGAGCGTGGAAAAAATTTTTTGAAATCTATAGAAATTTACAAAATATATAAAAAAGTGAAAAATACCACATTTTTCAAAAGTGTGGGCGTGACAGTTTTGGGCGGTTTGTGGGCGTTTGAGTGGGCAATTTATAATTTGGCAAATTTATATTTCTTGAACATTTTTCAAAAGTGTGGGTGTGGGCGTGGCAACATTTGGACAACAAGTTTGCGCTGCGTATATGTCTCTGGAAGCTTCGTGCTTAATCTCAACATTCTAGCTTTTGTAGATCCTGAGATCGAGGGGCTTATACGAACAGATGGACAGACGGACGGTCAGGACTGATCAAGACTATATATACTTTATATGGTCGGGAACATACTTTTAATACTTTTACATACTTTTCAACGAATCTAGGATACCCTTTTACTCTACGAGTAACGGGAATATTTACAATCTGTTATCCCTAAGTCATGATCACCCATTGACATCGTATTATGCATAAATTAATATTTCCTATTCGTATGATTTTTCCACAAAGTATAATTTAGATCACCTAATTTCCTTATATCAACATGCCATAGGTGTTATCAAATGTATCAAGGCAATGTCTCTGATAAGAGCTCAGTACTCTCGACCTTCCATCTTCTCATCAATTAATGGCCATATCGCTACTGTTCCAAGAATAAAAGTGAGCTGGGGCAAACAGATGAATCAGAGCACACAAAGTATCTTCACTTTCCATTCAATCTGAAACGATGCGGTCTCCAATTTACCATATCTTTGGAAGACAGGCAGCACACAAACAACGTGTCTAACTGGCCAACTCCAGACAAAGAAAATGTAATACGGGAAATGGTAAACGAACTCGGACCAAAACTAATGAAATGCACAACGAAAATGGATTCATCCGTGGCGCCCAGCTGGAAACCCCGAGAAATGTTGACCCCAAAACAGATTATGCCTAATTAGGCGGGCTTCTGGCGATGCTTGAAGATAGCTTCCGGTGATTAAATGTCGAGATGTGAAACGCGATCTTGGGAGAACTGCGACGAACTACGCACTAGCACGAAGCCAAAGAATCTAAGCCAGCATCTACATAAAAGGGCAAACAACCCATAAAGGTGGGAAGAATTTCTACGCAACTCGTGGCCCAGCCCATCCGCAGCTTTCTTTATGTTTTTATGGCTTTTCCCCCACTAATTTGGATTTGTTTGGATCTTGGTCCAGAGGAGCGTTTGATTATAGCCCGGCTATCTTTTAAGGGTCTGCCTAATGAATTTCCGAGCAAACGCTTTTCCCACTCGTGTGATAATTAAGACGAATGACCCCTTAGTTAGAAAGTTATTGCAGCACAGCTGCGTGTAGTCCGAGTGTTTTCTTTGTTTTTTAATAGATTATCTCGGCATTTGCGCAGCTGAACCCGAACCGAATCTGGTTATATTTGCATTATTCAGTTTTTAACTCCGGGTTAATTGCATGTGGAGTAACAGTTAAGTAACCGTTAGGCAGGGTTACCTTGCTTATGCCTCCCAAACGCTCAGCTTCCAGCGCAATTGTTGTCCAACTTTTCACTTCCTACGATTTCAATGAAGAAATTATTTTTGAACTCTTCGTGCTTAATTCACCCACACTTTAGCTTTTGGTTTTTTTTTAATCTTTTTTTTTGGCGTGGGAAGCCGACAATACCAAATTGCTGCCTCGAGTGGCAAACAAAAAGGGGGGAGTAAAAACCACAGAAGAAGTGGAAAACAACATCTGCGGTAGCTACTTCGTGAAAAGTGCGGCAAATCGACTGCGGCTGTAGAAAATCCAATTCGATTTTCAATCCAAAGATCGAACGCCGTTCGAAACCATTATGATTTGTGGTCTCCAGCTTTGTGCCCGCCTATCGCAGCTAATTAACCATTTATTAATGCCTAATCAAAAGCACTGCCAGCCAAAACACCTGTTATTGTTATTGATATTCGGTTTTTGCTATCCGATCTGCCGACGTGTTTGGCTTAAAAAACGCTACAGTTGGCAAAAAGCGCAATTAAAAGAGCGTAGATGCAATGATCTTCTTTTGCTCGATAGAAATGCTTTAGATTGATTAACTTTAATTAAGTGTTTCATTGCTTATTTACTTGTCTTTCGACCATTTAAGTTAATATGCTTTTATTTTCATTTTGTCAATGTTGTTCTTAAATCACATTTCAATTTGCAGCTTTGTATGGAATCTTTAACCATAAAGTCTTATAATCACTTCATAAAGAAAAAGACATTCAAAGTCTAGTCTAGATAACTACAATTATCTATTGAAATACGGAAAAGTAAACCGGCATACTATTTTTCTTAGCCGCGCTCATAAGCATAAAACTATTGGTTTAAACTTTACGATGCAGTAACTCTTATAGCTACAACTGTAAATTGTTCAGCTATTAGCCAACTTTATATATGTAACTTATGCTAAATTCGTAAAATAGGTAGGCATATTTAAAGTATCTCGTAAAAGTGGTTCTTCGTCGAGAGATATATGCTATACTACTTCTATCCCACCTTTACTTTCCAATGCATCGATCATGGCTTAAACTGCCAGAAGATTCCCATTGAGAGGAGTCGTCTGGGAGCTTGGTCTGGAGCTTGGTCTGGACCTGAATCTGGACCTGCATGTGGACCTGGATCTGGAGCAGCTGGCAATTAATGTGGTCCGCTTTTAGACCGAAGATCGAGAAGCCACTGACAGTGGCATGCCTGCCATTCCTTGGCCATCTTCAGAATTGGCTAATGAAAAGGCTGGAAAAGAGCAAAGATCCATTGGCACAATCACCGCTAGGGAAAACGGAGGAAAACAATAAGAGAAAAATAAGATTCAAAAGCGGTACATTGCCGACTGGTCGTTTCCCGTTGGCAGTTGCGGAAAATGAAAATGCCACAAGTCGATGTTGCATTATTGTGTCGCTTTTCAGTTGCTTTTCAGTCGCTTTTCAGACGCTTTGCCAGACTTTACGTAAATGTCGCGTGTGGCCACAAAATGGTCTTAATGTGTTTGGCAACAAAGAGAGGCAAACAATCAAATGGTTTGCTGCCTTTTTTCGGCTTAAAAGGAAAAGTCAATTGGCCTGGTCGTTTGTCTTCTTGCGGGTTGACGTGTGTAATTATCATAAATCGTAAATTGCATTTTTCATCATGCTAAAAGTCGCACATTTTCAGTTGGAAAAAATGCTTTGCATTTACAATTTACATTTTCATATACAATTGCTTTCATTTTTTAGTTATGTTTTTCGCATTTCCCCAGTTCACGCCTCAACCTCAACGGTTGATTGAACTTGTCAGAGTTTTGAGTTGGCCAGAGTTGGGGGAAAACATCATGGAAACAT